CTGTAACATTTTATGACCAGGACCCAGTCGCGGACCCCAGGATAATGACATATAATTTAAGCCATTTCTTTCAAAGAATATTTCTAAGAGTGATGAGAGGTATATGAGAAGAATATGAATTTTACGAGTCTAATATTCTGCTTTTAATAAACTCTTTTCTAGTTATAAGCAGAGATTGATGGTGTCTAACAGTGGAATTCAAGACACGTGTCTCGTCCTTTTTCATGGCTCTTCAGCTGGATTTACACTGGTCTCTGTTTTCTATAAATACTTGTCACTTAACGGCAGTATCGAGACAATCCACACAGGATGCAGACAGATACCAGTTATAAAAATCAACAGAAAGACTCGAACAACCGATAAAAATGAGTTATATAGTAACATTAAAAATGGCTCCAAATTCAAAAAATCAGTATTTACAGATATGCAATACGGAAATTAATCTCACGATTTTAAGATGTTGCTAAAAGTATGAGATATCATGCCTAAATGACTGATCAAAATTGAATAATATTCTCGCAAATGTAAACCTTTTAATACTTGTCATCATTATTATGCTTGAATAACTGAATTTAGGAAAATAGTCATGAAAAGAAAGACGATAAATAAAGGATACGTTTCATAGATCTCTTCAACGGACAGAAAAAAAGTGAAATGCTTAGTTGTTGTGACATTTGTGGTGGCCGGTGCCTCACTAGTTTCGTGGCAATCGGTATTCCATATGTTCTTACACTTCACATACTACTCGTCCAGACAACCACTACTGAATAACGTCACACGATCGGTAATACCAAATGATCAACACGAAGTGTTGAATATGATTATTGGGCGCACCACAATCAATATGCGAGTTCCAAAGAGCAAGGAGGCGAATGAATTAATAGGATTAAAATGTAAATATGTATATACATAAGAAAATAGCTGAGTCATCGAAATATTTTAGAGTTTATTATATTAAAACGAATAAGAAGAAGATGCGCCTAGGCGGTAGGCAATGTTCAGTTGTACCAGCTGATAGAAACGTGACAATACTAAAAGCACAATGGGACATATAACTTATTGCTATACACAAATAACTCATTACGGGGTTGTGATGATTGTTAAATTACACATTTTTGAAATCATGAATCGATCAATGTTAGACCACCCATTAGAAACCTGGAAGCACTGGATGGCCGTGGGAAGTCGTGACCACCATTGAAGTTCAACCTGTTCGGGTGTAGACAATAAGTACCGAAGACAGTGTATGAGATTGCGCGAGGCCGTGAATTTATCGAAGTTAAACGTTGACACCGTTAGATACCGACTCAGTGGTCCAGAGGTTAAGCGTTCGAATCCTGAGAGGTGCAGGTGTCGTGGATATGCACTGCCGATGTGTCCTATGCTGGGACGAAACGGCCGTCTAGTGCTTCCAAGTTTCTAATGGTAGTCTAATATTAATCGATTCATGATTACAAATCACTCAGTTAAACAAGTTAATCCAGAAGGGTTTAACCAAATGAAATACGAACCTGTGGTGGCCAAATATCTGTGTCGTCTAAAGCTCGGTAATTAGCTCGTCTAGACAATCGCTACCAAGTAGCGTCTGACGGTTATAAATCAGAAGATGAATTCGAAGTAATGAGTAAGTTTATTTTTGGACACACCACAAAGCGAAGTTGAAAAGCGGCGAACAAAGCGTACGAAACGACGTGAATTGGAGAGAGGGCTAATGAGCCAACTCCAAGAAATAGAGCATGACTAAGAATATATAGTCAGACAAATATAAGACAGACATGTGGTCAACGAGATAAGCATGCACACACATGAATAAAAGCGACGAATAGTTGACAAGGTCAAATGACAAGTGGAACACGTCATGTGAGCTCATACAAACCAGACAATAATAAGAACGAATGGTACATATAAATTGTTGCAATACAAATGGCTTGGTTAAATAAATTAATCGAAAGGGCTTAACCAAATTAGATGTAAGTGGACTGGAATATATGTGGTGGCACTACAAACAAACTCAAATATATGCGCAGAGAAAACAACATTTTCTTCTACAATTGCTAATTTTATCATCAGCCTACTCATAAGTAGTATTCTTAAAATATAAAAATATTTTTGTTTTCGAAATCCTTTAAAATAGAAATTATGGCAATGGACCATTTTATTATGCTGTGGCAATCGTGGAAAAAGTTAATCCTGGCTTATTAATTTCTAATTGGCGACATCGTCGTACATGTCATAGTGGTGTTGGTAAAGCAGCCGGTTGGATTATACCATTGAATACAGTATTGGATACAAGACAAGTGATTGTGTTGGATGGACATTTAGTTCATGCATTTGGTAAGTTGGCTGAGCTTCATCATTGAAATTACTTACTGGTTGAAAAAAGAATATTAACCCTTCATTGGCTGAATTATTTTAATGTTTTTTCCTAAGATTCCCAACCGTAGCTGCTACCTTGATGTGGTGGTCGGGCTTGCCTATCGTGATGACACAACCGAGCTATATTGGCTGGAACATATGTTCCTGAAGGTCCTACCATGCCAGGCAGGTCGATTGGAGAACGATGAGACTAAAAGCAGCTACTCAAGATCTGAGGGCAAAGTCGTACTGCTGACTTCAGAGGGGTTTGACAAAAGTAAGTTGTTTCCCTCTCTCTCCCTTCTCACAAGGAAGGAAGGATTAGAAAAGGTCGACCCTAAAAATGTTACACCTCACCCTACCTCACAGATTTCCGTCTTCGGCGGTAAGGGTGCCCACTAAGGGCCTTTAAGAACGGAGCTAATCCTCAAAAAACCTTTCATAAAATGGCCGTGCGTGACGGGCCTCAAGCAGTTGTCCCTTGGGCTCTGCAGTCACGCACTCAGGTATCTAAGACCGACACTAATCTGCATTCTTTTTCATGTCTCTCAAGAAACAGCCTTCCACGGTGTGGGCAGCCGGGAAATGACAACCGCCCTCATACCAGTAACAGCACACGAGACAGAATTGGTCGAAATCAAATCCTTCCTACACCCACACACACACCTCTCTTCCCTCCACAACTAAGTCTACTCACTGCACCGCTAACGCAGACGAAGCGAGTTCTCGAAACGTCATTCCTGGTCTCTTGAAACTTTGTTCTAGACTACTTGGGTGGCCAAACCAAAACATGGCAAAAATCCATGAAATCATTGACGAGTGGACTTAGCCATGTCGGTAATTGTCGACTACCTGGTTGGGGTCCGTGAGATGATAATAATCGATAGTTAGATACCCTGAATTACATGGCTCAAATCCATTCGCAATGGCGCCGGTGCATTTATTCTTTGTGTTCTTTCAAATCCTAATCTTCTGGATTCTTCAACACTTCTAGTTTTGACTTTCTAAACTTATCTCACTGAATCATACTCCTTGAATAATATCTTCTCATCCTAACCTCTCCGACTACTTCTAATACCTTTACTACCTCTTCTACTATTGGATTTGAATTGACAATTACATCTCTGTGTGCTGATGTGGTATGGTAACATGAACTTACGTACTTACGTACCAAGTTCTACGTTGCATCTGACTGATCTGACTGACTTTTCCTAAGATTATAGATATACTTACTTATTTACTTACTTTCCCCTGCTACCCCCAATGGAGCATAGGCCGCTGACAAGTTTTCTCCAACCAACTTTGTCTGTCCTGGGCTTCGCTTTCCCCCGTTCTGTTCAATTTTTATTCATTCATTATAAATATGTATATCTGTTAATATTCAATATGTTTTTCTTATGAATGAATTGTGAACATTAGGATTGTTGAACATTGAACCAATTTGATCTACTATTTATTGTTGTTAACTCAAAGATAAATGAACAAAGTAAAAATCTAAGTCATACTATGTTATTCCGCTTTAGATTACTGATATTTCATTGGTTTGATAGTTGATGGTTGAAAATAGAAGACCGTGAACTTTAGGTTTCGTTTTAGTTGTATTCATCAATGGTCTGCACTTGTAACAGCCACTGGAACAGTAGTTCTCAACATACACAACGGAATTAAACAAGATCCTCTGACACAACACAATGTGCCCCAACTACATCACACTTGACGGAGAGGCTCTGGGCAGTATCATAGATGAATAAGGTGGATCTGATGTAGATGTGAGGGTGCAGATCAACAAGGCAAGGTCAGTATTTCTGCAATTGAAGAATATCCGGAACTCAAAACAACTGTCAACTAACACCAAATTCAGAATTTTCAATATAAATGTTAAGACATTTCTACTGTTTGTAGCAGAAAATTGGAGAACTATCGAAGCCGTCATTCAGAAAAGTATTTATCAACATTCGTCTGAGCTAAATACATCGGATCCGTTGGCCAGACACCATCAGCAATAACTTACTTTGGGAGAGAACAAACCAGATTCCAGTGGAGAGAGAAATCAGGAAGAGGCTCTAGAAGTGAATAAGACACAAATCGCGTAAAACACGCATCTGCGTCACTAGACAAGCACTAAATTAAAATCCTCAAAGCCCAAAGGAAAGAGGGACACAAAAAATCACATTACGCCGAAAATTGGAGACAGACATGAGAAAAATCAACAAAAGTTGGCAAGAACTACAAAAGAAGGCCTATGAAAGAATCGGTTGGAGAATGCTGGTTGGCAGCCTATGCTTCATTGCGGGTAACAGACGTTATTAAATAGATAAATGAACTTGTAATCTTATCGAAACTGACATTTCCAGTGAGGTTTGAACCCACACTAATCGGTTTCTTAGTTTGAACTGTTACGGCTAAGCTTTACAGACAACCTTTGATTCCATGTAAGACTGATATTTGTACAAATAAAATGATCAGTTACACCATAAGTAACAAGAAAATACAGTCAGTGCTTTTTACATTCAAATCGATTCCTACGGATAAAATGAACATATATGATGGCTTGATAATATTTGATTGACGAATATCAATGAATGGCTGTTTGATGATAACAGTCATATGAAATTTACAAGAAATTAGATTTACCTATATGATTTTGTTCTAAGTATTGCTTTTCTCTTTGAGAAATGTGTCACATCACTCTTCCCATTTATACCATGCAGATGCATTGAAAAATCCACTAATTAATTAATCGACTAATCAATTATCCAATCAGTAAGACAAATGAATTATTGATTCTGTGTAATATTTTTTTCTTCAGTTCAAATATACCAGTAATTAAATTAATTAAAATGAATATTTTCATTATTATATAGAGGACTTATGAAGATTGTTAAATTTTATTTGAAATAATGAATCGATCATTGTTAAACCGTTATTATAAACCTGAAAGAATTGAGTGGCCGTTTCTTTCTAGTATGGGGACTTATCAGCAGCGAGTATCTGCAACCCCCCAGTCGCAGGAGTCGAACCCAGGACCAATGAAGTTCAGCCCTGTCAAGTGTAGGCAGTTGCCTACCTAACGAAGACATTGAGTGATGTTGAACAATACTTTGGATGAAATAAAGTTAGACCACTTAGTGGTTTAGAGAGGGACCAAGGGTCCACACTCAAAACCAAAGGTCCTGGGCTCGACCCCCGTTCATGGAATTTCTAATGATGGTCTAACAATGATCAATTCATGATTTAAATGGTATAAATATACAAGAGAAGTGAAGAATACGAATGTGTATTTTTCCAAGTGGTGATCAATTCCTTCATGTCTGATGTTTATTATAAAGATATAGTTTATATTTTATATTAACTGTTAGTTAGGTACACTCAGTCAGTTGTAATGTAGAACTTCGTACATGAGTACATAAGTTCATGTTGCCATACCACAGTAGCACAGAGACGCAAATGTCAAATCAAATCCCAAAGTGATAAAGATAGTAGAGGTATTAATGGTTATCAAGAAGACTAGGGTTTGAAGATATTATTCAAGAAGTATAATTCAGTAAGATAAGTTTGGAAAGTAAAAACTAGAGGTGCTGACGAATCCAGAAGATTAGTATTTGAGAGAGTACAACGAATGGATGCACTTGCGCCATTGCGAACGATTTTGAGCCATATCGTTCAAGGTTTCTAACCACTGGTGACTATCGTCTCGCGGAGCCCAAGCAGGTAGCCTACACTTACTAACATGTCTCAGTCCATTTCTCACTGACTTCATGGATTTGTGTAATGTTTTGGTTTGGCCGCCCCCGATCTTTCTTCCAACCTACTCCTTCTACACCACAAAACATAGCTCTTCAGGTACACTAGTTACAACTTACGAAAAACGAAACTGAAATTTCAGATTTCAACAAAAACAATATTAGGTAAAAGTTCAAGTGGATAATAGGAAAACAGGTGTACTGATAGTAGTAAGAAAATTTGTAAAATATGATAACTAAAGTAGGTCAAGGGTGGGTGAATAGAATTCAAATAATCATCAAAAACGTCAAAAACATTACGTAATAAGCAAATGTGTGAACAATATTGTTTTCGATTAGATCGTCATCAGGCTTTACTCTAATATACATGCCTTGATTGGTTTAACATTTTCATATGAATATTCATGTATATTAGAGTAAAGCCTGATGACGATCTAATCGAAAACAATATTGTTCACACATTTGCTTATTACGTAATGTTTTTGACGTTTTTGATGATTATTT